TGACTGAAATTTTCAGCATATCACCTTTACATCATCTATTTTTTAACTATTATAGTGAGAACTGCCAACTCTTTATCTAATCTCCCATAATGTATCTTTAATGAAACAAAAGGACAATTGTTTATTAGAATTGTGGTATGTTTGTACCAGTATTATTTATATATATATACTTAACAATCTTTAAGTAATATTTGTTCATGAATGACATGAAATGACCAGGAAACATGTTAATGTACCGGTATATTATTAGAAAGGAATTAAATGATAGATCCTGTTTGAATGACGAGATGTAGGACACTAGCGCCACCTAGTAGCATTTAATCACAGGAAACAGCTATTGTAAGATCTTCCTGTTAATTTAATCTGCCTGAACATGCAGTTCGTGATTGTTGGTACTTTGTTGATCAGATACATGAAAACAAAGACTGTTTATTCAGGTTTAATAATAATATTGCGGTAATGATAAACGCTGTCAACATCATTTCGGTAATTCTTTAAAGATATTTTATATTGTCATAGATTGCTGACAGTAGTTAAGTACAATGTATGTGGGCAAAAGTCATGTTTCAGGTACCGGTAATTGTCTAGAGGGGACCCGAGGGTAGGTTTGTGAGTCTTCACTCATATGAGGGATAAGTGGGTCTCAGAGCCTACTCAATGATGATTTGTGGCACATATCTGAGCCCAAATATAACATTCAATTATATCAGAAACATATACATGTACATCACCCCAACCACCAAAAAGTGAAGATTTACACCTTTCATAAAACAGAATAAAATGTGAACTTTTTATACTTATACTGTCATTTAGAGGGCGCCCCGTGCCCCCCAACCTGTATTAACCACTGGGTATTTTCTGAATTTGGGCCTTCATAAAAGTATTGTCTATAGACAGAGAGTTTTGTTTTAATATTTCTGGTGTAAGAATTATCAATGTGATCAGTCAATGAGGGGTGGTTTATTGTGACATGTAGTGTCAGCCTTTATCCCTATTGGCATTGTTTGATGCTGTAATGTCAGGCAATTCCAACTGTTGTGTGTTCAAAATATTTTATTACAGGCTTAGTTTTTTGGGGTTTTTTCTGGTCCTTAGAAACGTCATATTCTCAGATAAGAATGAGTTTTGGGGATAGAATGTGTTACATAATTAACCATGAGGGATCATAACTTTAATCTTTTATAAATAGTTATAGAGCTGCCAGAATCCAATGTTCTGTAAGAATGTATATTCATCTGGCTAAGTTTAAATTAGACCAGATCGATCAACAAACATAAATTGCTAGAATTTGTCGCCCCGGTCTGTCTCTACATGCCTCTATTAGTCTGTCTATTGCTCACAATACCTTGCGAACATTTGACTACAGTTGTCATTAGATCTATTAAGGGCCGAGAAAGTTCACCCAGATTTTCCGGCGTGGTTCTCCCTTGTCAGTGATGCAGGACGGAGGGGCTGACAAGGAAAGCTGTCTAGTCGTTCGGATGGGACGAAAAACCGAGGTCCCGTGTACACATTGGCGTGCACGTAAAAGATCCCTTGGCAGTTGGAATTCGATATAAGAGTAGGCCGTAGTGCCGCTGTCCGGGCAAAATTTCCCTCATAGCACACTGTATGGCGTATGCCCGTCTTCATTAGCCCAGGTTAGGAGCAGAACAGTAGGACGTTAAACCCCATTTCATTTCATTTTCATTTCATTTCAGATCTATTAAGAATTTATATATTGTTTAAGGTTCGAGAAATTCAGTGAGTTCTGATAATAACTCTGGAAGTTATTGCCCTTGCTTCCTTTTGTATTGTCTTGTGAACATCAGATTTGTTTGAAATTAATATGAATGAAGAATTTTAATTAAACAATTTCTGATAATAATAATAGAGTTATTACCCGTGATTATGGCATGCGATCTTGTCAAATTACTAATGATTTAATATGTATAAAGATATTGTAGATGACTTGGACAACTTGGTGGCTGTGTGTGTTTTGCTTCCTGGCAACCTATCTTTTAATATTGTCAACATAAATAAGAGTCAAGTATAAATGTGTAAATATTTGACTGGAAGCCGTTGTTTTATACTGTAAAATAATGTTTAATAGTCTTACTATAAAAATGTGTATAACACAGTCAAAAATTACAATTTTAATTCAAAACCCACCTCATTCTGTCCAAAATAGGCAGCTGGCTTCTATTAAAGTTGAGCTGAAACTAAAATAGAAGGGTTGGACATTCCGTAGGACGGAATTATTTTAGGTGTAACAATGAAGTTTGTCTTGATATATTGAAATTCGGAAGTTAACATTTCTTATGTTGAAGTGAAAATATATTTTGAATGTGTCAAAAAGTTTCAGACGTCTGATATCAGTATACCGTTTCTTTTTGTAACAGTTTCATTTTAATATCATTTGCAAATCAAAATTATCTAGGAGTAACAGATAATGGAAAACGTCTTTTGCAAAACTTTTATGAGAAATATTCTGTTTTAAAAATTCGAAAGTACACAAAAATGTCTAGTCAGTGAGAAATTTTATGCGATTTTCTTGACAGACCCCTGTCATCAGTTATCAATGTGGAAGTGTATCATGGGATGAGGACATTAAATGTTCGCCCTGAAATAAGAAATATTTATCGGTCATCATTTAAAACTAAAATACAGGAAATTTTCTTGAAGTCTCGTATTTTCCGTTATAATAGAACAAAGCTCAGAATCAGAGGCCTTCTCTTTCAGTGTCTGTATGTTAAAAGATGATGTTTTGAAAAATCAAACAATTATTAAGATAATAATAGAGTTTTTGTAACCCCATATTAAATTAAGTTTGTTGACATGAAACTGTAGTTGGAATAATTTTTTGCAGAGTTTCCCCCCTTTTCATATCTGCAGGGCCCTGTTTCTTGAAATCTTAACTAAAGATAAAATCCAAATTTTAGTAGATACTTCAATTTTGATTGGCTAAGCACTAAAATCAATTTAATATTACTTAGATTTGGATTTTATCTTGGTTAAAATTTCGTGAAACAGGCCCCAGCAATATAATTGATACCCAGTAAGACAAAACTATCGATATTTTCAATTCAACATTTCTTGTGAAGTTATGTAGTTAGTTATGTCCCATTTTAAATTAGCAGAAGGATGTTGCGCTATATTCTTTTTTGTTCAAAGATTCAAGAAATAAGAAATTATTGTCCAGTCATAACCAAGGTCACCAGTTTCTGGCGCTGTTGGTTGATCTGACTATGTGGATTATGGGTTAGGGTTAGGGTAGTAGTCAGATCAGCCAACAATGCCGAGTTTCTTTAGAAATAGTTCAGTCTTCATGTTAGAAGGTTAATGTCGCTTTAAATAGAAAGTCTGTATGCCATGTTTTTATGTTCATTATTGCGTTAGACAATATCTATCATAAGAAACTGCCACTAGGTTATATTGGTTGTTAGGTGGGTAGAACAGGATTATTAATCAATGTATTTGCTGTGGTCAGCCATTATTACTGTTATTGTTTAAGATGCGTGGGTGTCACAGACGATGAAAGAGACAGTTAATAATTTCAGTTGGTGTATCACATGTTGTTATTACTGTATGGTTATTAGCTTATATCATGGAGGAAGTGATGATTTATTATCCACAGATTGAAGAAAACAACTGGTTAAAGTTAATGCGATTTCAGTCCCAATGGTTGTCAGATTGAAAACAAGGAAATTAAATAGATACAATTGTACATAGACTATATTAATAGTTATTAACTGACATATACAGAGGAAGTGATGATTTGTTTATTTCTAGACAAATCCTCAGATTGAAGAAAACAACTGGTGATAGTTACGCGATTTCACAATTTCGTCTCCCAGAGAGAAGATTACTATTCGTTTATCTCTTGAGAAAACTCGCCAGCCATATGTCAACCATTTTGAATGTCACAACAGGTATCCTTCTGTCGGTCACTTCACAAAGATCCAAGATGGCGACTCAATCTTGTATTTCTTCAAAATTTTCATGTATCACCGAATCACATTGTGCACTAAAATTAGTTTCTGGTAGATCATCAAATTGGCAGTTTTCAATTGAACTTTTCATGTCAAGATGTGGAAAATGTTCCAAGCATCATTAATATGTAACTCATGTGACGAACCAATGCCTAGAATTGTCGAAAAATCAGCAGCATTTCATTCAAATAAATCCAGCCAATCAGGAGGAGAAGCTTAGGAACCAAATTAAGACTGATTAATGGCCGGCTAGTTTTCCAGAGATAAACAAACGGTAAATTTCTCTCTGGGAGCAGAGAATAGCGATTTCAGTCTCAGTGGTAGAATGATACTGAGTTAACTGAGGAAATAAAATACATACATTTGTATATACACTAGATTATAATATTAATTACATGTTTGCATATTTTGGACAAAATCCAATTTTTCATGACATAATCCAGGCTAATATTGACACAGATTGATTATTTAACATTTTAACAAAATCAATGTCAGATAATCTCACTGCTTGGATTCAATAGAAAGAGGCCCATCAAAAGTTTTTGTTTATCAGTGGCTCTGGCATTTTTTTTTTTGGGGGGGGGGGGGTTGACCATATCCCACCGGTAGAGGATACTAAATGTTTACCAAATTCCAAATTCATTGAATCTTGAAAATACTGAACAGAATTGAACCATTTTTGGACTGATATTCTTTTTCGACATTCAGCTTTCCTTTACATTATTACAAGGGATTAAATTACCTCTAAAATATTAATCCGATACTTTGAGTATATACAAAGAGATTGCATAATATACTAGACAATACTTGACAAAAACAGTCTGTGTGTATTCAGTAATTTTCTTTTTTTTTGAAAGTAGCAACAGAAGTACATGTAACTTGACAAGATTTGGTTCAGTAACGCTGCAATGATATATTTGTTATGTATTATGTACAGCAGAGTTTTTATGGTCTTTATAAATTTTATTTGCGTAAGAAATGCCGAAATTATTGTCGAATTTTAAACAAAGTTCTTACTTCTATTTTCAGATTCCAATGGCCAGAATAATGATACATCCCTAAACAACCATTCTCATCCAGTGAACAAGCCGAGCAACCATCTACAGCAGCTAAATAACAACAACATATGGAGGAAAGCAGATGCAAACAAGAACCATAACTCTAACAACATTATAACAGTTGTTGCTGGTCAACAACATATAGGGACAAATAGCATTGTTCAGAAGCAAGTGTATTACAGCAACAGTGTTAGTTCTGCGGACAGAGTCAAAGACAACCCAGTTCTTAACGGAAAGCCCCAACTTGGCAAGGAAGATCAGGTGCCGTCTCCAAAGAATGAACTGAACTCAAATAAACGCATGAACAGCAATGGCTATGGGCGGGTTAGAATGACTGGCAGCTCCTCATCTACCAATGAAAATTTGTCATGGTTAGCTGATGTGGCAGCTAGTCAGTCTTCTCAGAGCCAATTGCAGTCATCAGAAAGTTTGTTGTCAAGTCGTCAGGAGACACAAGAAGGTTTAGGACATTCATCTTTACACACATCTGGATCCTCGCAAGGAACAATTTTTCGTCAATCGGTAACAATGGCTGAAGGAGGTCAGCGTTTAATGGCAGGAAGTCAGTATATGGGAGGAAATCCGTCAATGGCTCCATATTCTCCTCTTTATAGCGTCCACGGACAACCTCAACATGTCTCTAATGTTCCTCAACAATATAGTGCTTTATATCAATATCCTTCTTCTTATTCTCACACCAGTTCAACCCTCATGCCAGCCGGACATTATCCACATATAGAATCGTACTCCGCTGTTCTCGCCAGTATGGGCAGCCATGTTCAGCACGGCAACCCTGCTTCACAGACGCAGCTACCTCGAACACCGTTTATGTCTGGGAGCCCCATGCCCCAATATTCCCCAATAGGGGCTCATCGCAGCTTGTCGGCCGCCTCATCGCCTGGCCCTCTTCATCCGTCAAGTAATTACAACATACCTGGAGGAGAATCCCTGTTACATGAAACCCGGTCCCCTAAAGTTGAAGGTCGAGAAGGAGAATGGGGTCATAGGTCGAGTTCAAGTGGTAACTTGCGCGAGGAACGGAATTCCGTTTATACTTCAGGTTCCTCCATGAGTAAATCTACACCTGGACTGTTACCTGGAGAAAAAGATCTGTTTTACAAAGTTCCGAGTGGTAAAGAGGGCAGCTTAAAACATAGAATATTAACGCGACCTCTAGACGCTCCCGGTGAGGCTGAAGAATACAAATATTCCCATTCTTCAAGGCACGATGAACCGAGTGTTAAAAGAACTAAGATGTCTTCTGCTAGTGGGTCTTCACATGCAGTGCATGTATCGACAGCAGAAGAGTCACACATAACTGGGCAAGGTCCGGGTCCTCCCCAAGATATTCTACAAGAACTGGGGGAACTACAGGGTCTTCCCCCTCCGCATCTACATTATCCTCCTCATTTTATGAGGGGATCAGTTATACAACTGGCTAATAATAAACTAAAACGTGTTGAAGATCTAGAAACTTCTGATTTTGTCCAAAGTGCTGAAATTAGTTCTGATCTCAAAATAGACTCAAGTACGGTGATACGTATAGATGAACATGTGAACAGGGGAACTGCCATTTTAGGATTTTCTGTAGGAGAACACAAGGTGAAGGTTAGTATACAGATAAAGTTATCATTGTGGTATTTTGTAGAAAATGGATTTGAATTGTGAATGATGATTGTGTGTGTGTTGTGGTGGCCTATTATAGTAAATTCAGTATAAATGCAGTTTCAAGAACAGGGGTTATTCTAGGTTCAAGTATAGGGGTTATTCTAGGTCTATTTTGGTATCGAAAATAAGTGCCCAGTCAGTCAAAAAACATGTCTACCTTCACACCCTACTCCCAGATGAAAGTCAGACACCTTCCGTTAAATACCATAACCAATCACAACAGAGGTCTCAAATCAGTGAAATAATTTAAACCTTGACATTTATTTCCCAGGTACCAGTAATTTTAAAAATAACATGATTCAATTTTACTTCAATAATACACTTAAGCGACCAGGAGAAAATCCATGAGGTTCGAAAGGCGACCCTACTGCTTGTCACATCCAAGCTGGGAATTGAAACCACACCACTTGACTCAATGACAGACCTTGTAACCTAAAGCTCAGGCACCCTTCAACCTTGGTGATGACCAGTTGTGGTTTAGGGATCGGATCATTAAGTAGTGTAATCTAAAGATAATATTCTTATTTGTTCACTGATGAATCTAAAAAAGATGCCTGAAGTGGATTCCCAGATTGTTACAGGATTAACAACAATTATACCCTGATTTAGTTGTTTACCCCTTGACTTAACTATAAGGCTCTATCCATATTAAGAAACAACAATCTGTGTTTGTCAGTTATCTTTCTTTCATAAGTTGTGACTTTATAAGAAATTGCCTAGAACCATGATAATAAACTTGCATAATTTACCCTTTAGTCCTTCCTGTCTATTCTTTTATTTTGAGTAACTAGCAAAATGTCACTCTTGCCAACTGCCTATCAAGTACCTTGTACCTTCTATAACTATTTCTGTGGTCGTAATCTATATAAATAAAATCAAAAATGTGTGAATGTTCGATCCATGCCCAGATATGTGGTATCAAATTAACCCTATGAATGTTTAGGCCATCGAATTTGGGCCCCAGGTGCATTGGTCCGGGGGCCCCCAAGGAAATACTGCTTTGTCGTCGTGCTCCACCCCCACATATGTGGTATCAAACTAACAAGCATAACCCTCTAAAGGCCATCAGAATTTGGGGCATGGGCTGGGTTTCCTGCTAGTTATTGTATAATGTCTACTTCATAAACATCCCTCAAAGTGTTAATATTCTAAATCATGCATTCTGATAGATATCATCATTGATTCAAAATTGTTTGGATTACCGTTAGAATAATTTGGGAACTTCTCTTTCAAGATGCAGCATCTACAGGTACTAAGCTATATTGATATCAAGGCTTATTAGCATTTACCCGTTTACGGTAAAATACTTAAAAATTCTAATTTCATGGCATGTAAAATAACCAACAACCGATTGGTTGCCAGAAACACTGTAACCAGGGTATCATTTAATCTTGTGTATTTAGCACTAATTTCTTTAACATTCATTTTTAAATATCATATCTTTGTTTACAAATTCGTAAAAATCATTTAAAATACCCCAGATTATCTAATTTGTATTTGTGTCTAGTTTAAAGCTGACTGATCAGTTTTGATAATGAGTGTCCAATTTACAAGTGTTTAATTTCCTGACCGCTGTTCAGAAATTAATCATTATACATCAATAATAAATTGGGTTGGGTTTTTCTTAACAGTGATCAAGAAATTAGACGCTTGTAAATAGTCAACTTTAAACAGGACACGAGTATAAATTAGATGATTTTAAACGATTTTTATGAATTTTTAAACAAGGACTTGATATTGAATGAATGTGAAAGAAATTAATGCTAAATACACAATATTAAATGATACCCTTGTTATAGTGAAAGCTCCCTTCTGAGGTGTGTGTATGGACTGCTTTTTAGTTTTAGAACTTATCAACAGGGCTTGTAACACTGGTACCGGGGGGGGGGGGCGCTAAATTTATTCTTGAGTCCATTCTCAAGTAAAACTCAAGGCATTTCTTTGTAAAAGCAGTAAATTTTCACACGTCTATAGCAAAGCAGTTATATTATTTATTGCTCCATAAATCATTCACATGCATTTGAATGGATTTCATATAATAGAGAGGAGTTGTCGCTTGAAGTCATTTTATAAAAGGTTGGCTTTGAAAACATTTTGACAATGTTTTACCAATTTTTGGACACACCCATAAAATGGAGTTATTTCTTTCATTAATATTTTTTTCTGAAGGACATTATAAAATATAAAAAACTTTTACTAGTTTGTTTACTTTTCATTGACTAAAAATAATCTGTGAACGTCACAAATCTTAGCTACAAGGCTAAACATGAATAACTGAAGGTTTCATTAATAAGAAATGAGCCTTGAGGGACCTCCTCCTTCAACAAATGAGAAAAACATATAGTAGGCCTCCCTTCGGCCAGGTTAAGGTGTGATTCTATTTCCTACGTTATTGTTTGTAATATATACAGAAGCCATTTGTTTTGTTACTATTTCTAGCATACAGAGAAATACTACTCTTTTTATTTTTTTTTAATTCCCCAAACATTTAATAGAATTATTTTTTGTCGATCTGGCCAAGAGCAATGGTTTATTCATGGAATCTTCGATCTTTTAATAGCTTGTATGTCACAAAAAAATTTCTTAATCCCACTCAACAGATTTCTAATATTTATTAACAGTAATACCTAGGATTGTTCTCTTTCTTTATTTAACTGTTTTATTTTTAGCGCTCGACCATATTCTATTCCAGGCCAAAAATAAACGAAAAAGTGTGACAATTAAAACAATATTTAAGGAAATAATATTGGATTTAAAACAAAAAAAAAAGTTTTTATTTGCAATCTAAAAGTGTTTTATGGAGTACATGTATACCGTGCAATGTGAAATAACAAAACGTGTGACGTTGTTTTCTCCCTTATTATACAGTAGTAATTATGTCAAAGTCAAGTTCATTTAGATTATTGTTACTGGTAGAAAGCATTAGCAGTAATTAGTTAGTGTTGGCATTCTAGTTTTAAAATGAAATTTAAAAAAAGATGGCCAAGTATTACGCAAGTGTTTTATTAATGCTGATAAATGATGATTTGTGATGGCTGGTGGAACTTGATCTTTTTTCTTAGAATGTCAAATGTCTTTATAGATTTATCTTGATAGTATAGATATAAAACTAAGCAGAGGAGGTGGCTGGAAATACATCTCACAGGTGATCTATTAAACCTACTTGTGATAGTATTGTGGTTTCCTCCATTCTCATTCATAGCTTCTTTTTTTTTTAAAGTTATGGTGTCTTCTAAAGCTGTGTTCCTTCAATAGCATTTTCTGTTCTAATTTTAAATACAGTTCATCTCAAAGCTAAACGACATAATACATGCAAAAACTCTATTATATTGGGGTTTTATACACTATACACCTACATTGAAATTACTGTCAGAGTTATGATCCTTGGTTGCTTAGAAACATTTTGTAGACACGCTATCGGTTAAAGTTGTGATCTGATAGATATGAAAATTATACAAAGAGTTCATTTTCATTTATATTCCGCAATTTCCGATAATTACTTACCGAGTTATTGCCATAAATCAGTTTGGAAAACTTTGAGGATGATCTAGACACTAAAGTTATGACTCGATTGCTGTTACTTTTATACACAATGTTTATGTTGATGAGATGAAGAATCCTATTTAATTTCTTTCCAGTAATAACTATTATAGTTATTGCCCTTACTTTAAGAGTTATTGCCTTTGATCGTGTTGAAAATTTCTTGTAGACCTTCTGTTGACTATTGTTATAATCCGATTATTGTACAGAAACAAAAACACAATTGATTTTCAATAAAAGTTAAAACTATCAACCAGTAAGTTTTTATGTCAGGAAGATCTAGAAATTGATCAAATTTTAATTATTTCTGTTAATTACTTCATGGGTTGATCAGCTTTTAGTGTGTGCGAATTTTTACGTTGCTTGGCAACCTATCTTTCTTTTTTATAGATATTTCAATATTGATACCAGTATTCATGATCAGGCAAAATAATTGTGTACCTGACAAATAAATAGCAAATAGAGAAATTAACAAAAGAAGAGTCTGTGTTTGCGATGACTTGTAAACTAAAAACTCTCTGACACCACTTGTCGAACTACCACGTCATATTAGACTTGATCCAATAGGATGCTTTTATAATCTGATATATATTGACAACATCCTGGTCAATCATATTAAGAGTTGTGGTTCCTGGTGTTAAGCAAGTATATCATTACCTAAATTCCCAATTAACTTTACAGCTTCTGAATCTTACAAATTTCTCTTAAGAGATGTAACTAAAACAGGAATGCCTAAAGCTGTATTTCTAATATATCCAACAATGCTACACAATCTATTGACACATTGTTTGACAGAGCCAGAGAGATATATACTCTTCAAAAAAAAAAAGGGGATATTAAAATGCAAATACCTATGCAGGTTGTGATATGATAAATAGTCATGGACACTTGAGAGTATGTTCACAGATGAAGAACTTATCGCCCCAACAGAACCACTGAGCTCCATGTGCGACACGCAATACCGCCATACACATGAGAGGGGTTCATTGTCAAATTTGACACTGTTTAGCGTATCTTTGCTTTAGTGTGTTACATTTAATTTGTTCGGGAGACGTGTTCGTTGATGTCAACGTCAACCGACAACACTGCAAGAATTGGCCGTGGCACTGCAAGAGGAGTGGGTCAGATTGCCCCAAATCGTGATTGGACGATTGATTAGGAGCATGCCACAACGAATTGCTGAATGTCTGAGGATTGGTGGAGCAATTACTCATTATTAACACAAAAATCAAAACCGTCCATTTTCACTTTGACAGTGTATCTCTTTGCGAGTGAAATGGGGCCATCAGATAAGCCACCCATATGAACTGTTTTTGTTCATGTGTAGGCAATTGGCCTGTTATTAACATACACTGGTTACCTCTAATAAACATAGCAGTGCATTTCCGCAGTTTTGTATT